GAAGGGAAATCGAATTAACTGAAAATATTTAAACTTGATACCTTCTACTAATCATTCAGAAACCATTTGTCTAACTGTTAATCTCAGGTGGAAAAGTTACCCTTCGCTAAGCATTCATACTTTGATGACGAAATTTATTATTAATTCATCCATCCCATCAGGAATAGTACAAGAAATGTACATTTCCAGATCAATCGACGAATTTTGTTGTTGAAACAGGTGGCTGTCAAAATGATTTTCAATCGTTCATACAACAACATCCGGATATTCGAGTCCATCCAATTGATCGTTTACCCTTTTTAGGACAATTTAGTGATGAAAAGTTTATGGAATACTGTGAGGTGAATGAAAATAAATATTTCGAAACAATCCATTTAAACTTCATCCAATATTGCTTCCCAATTCCTTTTAATTATTATATAAATGAACAGAAAAAAAAATTGAACTACCTATTTGGAGGAAACTATACTTTCAGCATACAGAATGTGCTATTTTCAGGTAATTCATTTCCGGATTATGATTGAAAATGGGTATATGCTTATCACGTCTACATATTTACCATCTATTTTGAATCGTTAATTCATTTACAGTTTGAAATGTGTCTCGCAAGTGCTATACCAAATAATCATTGGCGAATTTGTGCATGTCACGAAGATAAATGCAATGAAGGCGGTATTGATGAAATGTTAAGAAAATATATGAGTGTAAAACCATTGGAAACGAGCACCCTTTCGTTGGATTTGTTCGATCGCGACATTGAAATAATATTGAATGGTTAAATTATTAATTGCTTTTAATTAAATGCTTGATTTCATCGCTGTAATTGAGAATAGCTTATCAGTATAAAGCCTAATTATTTTAATGTTATTAGACGTATATGAAGTTGTTAAGGTTAGCATATTATTATATTCATAGTTCCCGTCCATAATTAAAAAATTATAGGATGATATATTAACATAGAAATTATTATGCAAAGATAAATTGTTTTGCATGCTTTAAGCCATAGTTTTGTTTCCCTATAAGACAAATTAAGCAATCAGTTGTAGGCCAGATTAATTAGGAACTCTCAGATCGATCCGATTTCATATTCTTCTCAAATACAACTAAACTTAAAGTGTCAATGCATTTTAGAGATAACTTATCGGCAGCGCCATTACAAAATTTCTCGTTTTTGTGAACTGTTTGGTAGCTTACATTAAACGATTGAATGAATTTTTAATCTGCATGGTACTGAATAATCCTGTCTGTTAGCTTCAATCAATCCTCGATCTGTTACTTTGATCATTTTCTCCAGAATTTTTGACACTTCATCTGCAAGGAAAGTTTTGTGCATAATTAGGCAATTTGATTTATAAATTTTTAAGCTATC